GAGCGAACAAGTTATCAGTCCTTATAGGGCCATAGAAATTATTTGATCTCAACTTTAAAATATGTAAATGAGGTAGGTCTCCCAACCATTTTGGAAATGTGTCATTCAACTGATTGTTACCTAAATCAAGAAGTTCCAATTTTTTACAATTGATCAGAGATGGTTGAACTTTCCCCTCTAGCTTATTGCCATCCAATTTAATGATGTTGAATCGGTTTCCAATACTAAAAGTTGTATTGATTGTCCCACTAAGACTATTGTTGCTTGAGTCCAAAATCTCAACTGTACTCATCTCACCCAAACATTGTGGGATTGTTCCCTCCAAATTATTACTTCTCAATTCTATCACTATCAATGTTTTGAGATTGCAGATAGTTGAACTAATCTGCCCACTGATATTATTGTGCGAAAGGAGAAGAAATTTTAGTTTCTGCTGGTTTAGGAGTGACTTTGGAATAGGACCTTCCAGCTGATTTTGTTTTAATATAACTGCTTCCAGTGAAGGAAGGGAGAATATCCAGGAAGGTATAGTCCCATTCAAGTGGTTTGACGACAAGTAGAGCTGTTTTAGGTTTTGTAGTCCACTTACGTGGGATGGAATTGGACCAGTTAGGGAATTGGATGAAAAATCTAGCATTTCAATTAGTTGGGTCCAACTTCTGTTAAAGGATAAGAACTCAAGTCGGCCATGAAAGTTGTTATTTCTAAGTGATAAGTACCTGAGATTTCCAAATCTCGAGAATTGGGAAATTGGTCCTTTAAGATGGTTATTACCAAGGTACAAATTCTCTATGTTGGTGAGATTCCATAGAATAGGCCCTAAAAGATTGGAAGAACTCATGTCCAATATAAGCAATGAAGTTAGATGGCTAAATGATTCAGGTATCGTACCACTAAAATTCACACCAGGGAGAAATAACCTCATGAGTGATGCACTGCTATTCCATTTGGTCATGGGAAACCTAACCGTGAGTTGGGGATTATATGATAATTGGAGAGATTCTAAGTCAGAAAGGTGGAAGACTCTTTCGGGCAATACCCCATGTAACTATGTGGATTGAAGCCGTAGAGTTGTTAAATGAAAAGAGAAATTTGAAGGAAAGGTGGAAGAAATGTTCAGAAAGTTAAGGTTGAGCTCTCTTAATTGGGTCAAGTTCTTAAGGAGCAGTTCAAAATTGTGAGGCCCAAGACTAAGCTCATTTAGACCACTGATATGAAGAACGTGTAATTTAGAAAGGTGAGATATTTCAGAAGGGATTAGACCTGTAAAACTTGAACGCGACAAATCAAGATGCATCAAACTTGAAAACTCACCAAATTTAGGTGAAATGAGTGATCCATAGAAATTATTATAAGACAAATCAAGACTTTTGAGATTGGAGAGTTGAAAGAGGCTACTATTGGAATGAAACTTGCCTTGAAGTTGGTTGCAACGCAGATCAAGCTCAATCACTTGTCCTGTTGTCTCGTCACAATGAACTCCATCCCATGAGCAACAATCTGTGCTCTTGTTCCATAAAAGAGTTCTTGGATATGACTGAGTCTCTTGGCCCGTTATGTCGTGACAAAAATGAGAAGCATTAGGATTAATGGTAAACATGTTCTTGAATTGTAGAAGAGCAAGAGCTTGATCTTCAGGGCACAAATGAGGTATGGATGACGAGAAAGCAAGTTGACAGAGAAAGGTATATAGCATAAAAAACACAAGTTTTACACAACCCATTTCTGCACTAAAAATGATCAAAACTAATTTAAGTTGGTAGAGAAGAAATCAAGAAATGTTTGCTTTGTGTGTCTATTCAACAATTTTGATGAGGTATATATAGCACAAATTGAGCAAAAGAAAAATCTACTATTGGTTACGTAGTCATTATCAGTCAATTTAAACTTGTGAATCACATAAGCCCATTCAATGTGTCACACAAGTGAATGCCGGAAACTATCAATAGTTCACATTCTTAAGTCAATGCACAAAGTCCCACCACTTGTACTTAACACATTACACATGCATTTTGTCTGATACAGACTAAAAAATATCTTTGTTTTGCCAACTTAATTGGATTCCAGGAATAGGACCACCACACAACTCAATTGTTTAGACTCTGAAAGAAACATAACAACTTTATATCTTAAAGAATAGGACAGTCACTTTGCCAATGCATTAAGGTTAGACTGGAAATCTACTCTGAATACAGCGCCTTACATAGTGCACCAGCTCAAGCCAATTTTCCAGGAGAATTGACCTGCTGATGGAAGACATTGCAGGAGTCCTTACATGGCATGTTCTTCATACATTCTAGTACCACTAATTCATTTAAGTCCAACTAGATAAAACATTTTTTTCTATCTTCCTGGAACTTATAGGTGAGTGTGAAACTGTTGTTCCTGTATTCTCGGAGAGCAGAACGGAAGAAACAAGTTGCTATAGTCTTCAAGTATATCGTCCAATTCAAGTAGTTTGATGACAATATAAGAAACTGTAGTTAAATGATCTGAGGATTCAAATTATGTCCAATTATTAGGCTGAATTTATTTCTACATACTATAGACAAATGAAACAAATTTTGGTTTGAGTCACAAAGGAAGAAAACTCATGACTCTTTACTCATAGGCTAACAAACACTTCATGAAACTAACAACAACAACAACAAACTAAGTGTAGTCTCACTGGTGGGGTCTGGCCGTCTTGGGAGGATAGTGTGTACAGAGACCTGAGAGGTTGTTTCTGATAGATTCTCGACTCACAGAAAGATGGAAAAGAAGGCAGTAGCAACAAGCAGAAAATACAACAAGATAATATAGAAATTGAGGCTAAAGAAACAACAAGTAATAATAACAATCTAAGATGAAAATAAAACTTGTATTTTTGGAGAGAAAAAGTTTGCTTTTGAAGGTCAAATATTTGTATCCTGGAGACTAATAGACATTAATCAGAAGCAAATATACTCCTATGTGCAGTAAGTTTAAGGCAAATATTTTTTATGACTTTACTGTTACGGCGGATAAAGTTTAATAATCATTTTTGAAATAGATCCTATTTGTATAAATATATTATTTTCAAATACATCAATTTTAAATTAAAAAATATGAAAAATTTCACGACCATATTGACCTAACTATAACAAGAAATAATGCTTTCTATTTTCTTTATAAGTTACGAAACTTTCGAGATCACACAAGCATGTTACATAAATGCGCCAAAACAAAGCAAGACACAAAAAAATAAATAAAATTCCAAAGATCTGCCTAAATCAATAGTGGAAATACGAAAGTTGTCATTTTAATTTTAACTTCAAACAATAATCTTTTTTTTCTTCTTGAACAAAATTTTATATATTTAAAACATTACATAAAAGTACTAGAAACCCCCAATTTACTATTAAGAACATATTTCTAAATTTTTTTAATAAAAAAAAAACTGTTTCACTCTTCAAATAAAAATTATCTAGGGGACAAACTTCACATAAGAAAAGTTTGAGGACCATTTTAGCATTTATATTACTATCATAAACAGATTACCGGCATCCCCCAGGGAGATTATTTCCCATTACCCAATTGAATGTTTGAAGCCCTAATTTATCAGTGAAATTAGTGAAGCAAAAAGGGAATTTTTATTTTTTTTACTTTTTTAGTTTCAAAAGCTAAGTAGAGAAACCCCATTTGGTTGAAATTCAAGAATCTGCAGTTGAAAGGTAATTTTTTTTTATGTTTTATAACTTATAAGCATAGTAGAGAAACCCCATTTGGTTTAAATTCAAGAATCTGCAGTTGAAAGGTGAATTTTTTATGTTTTATAAGCATAGTAGAGAAACCCCATTTGGTTAAAAATCAAGAATTTGCAGGTTAAAGGTGATTTTTATTTGTTTTTATAGCATAGTAGAGAAACCCCATTTGTTAAAATTCAAGAATCTATAGCTACAAGGTAGAAAAAAATCTTCTTGTTCTGTTTTCTGTTCAAAAATGAGCTAACTGTATGTCTTTCTTTGATAGTATAATGATATGTTGTTGAAGTATTGAATTCGGAAACAGAAAGGGTGAATCTTGGTACTCAAAACTAGCTCCTATTTCTCCTTTAATCTTTAGTTGGAATGATTCTGAACTTTGCTTCAAAGTTTAGATTTTTTTTTTGCTTTGCTGGGGTTTGTGTTTTGACCCTTTTGTATTCGATGGAATTCTTTGCTGATTTCATGTTTTACAAGCAAAAAATGCTGAGCTTCCCATGAAATTTGTCGAGGGGTAAACGTATTCTTTGAACCAGTGGTGGAGTTAGGATTTTCGCTAAGGGGTTCAAAATATGAATAAGTAAACAATGGAAGAAGCCAAAACAGTGTAATTTTCCGCCCCCCTCGGCCCTATCTGGCTTTGCCCCTGCTTTGAACCCATTTTGGAAATTTCTGATTGTTAAAGTTTGGAACTTTATTGTTTACTTGAGGTATGATTTTGTTAATCCTTTTGCATTTGATAAAATTGTATGGGTTAATGTGGTTGCCTTCTTTGCTTATTTCATGTTTCACAGCAAATAATATCATGAAAAGTGTATTAAGTTATCTTTGAACCCAATATGAAAATTTCTGATTCTTTGTTGAAGTTTGAAACATATTTTGTTTGTTGACACTATCGTCATATGTTTTTATTTTATGTTTTGTAATGATATCAGAGATTGGAGACTATTCTGTTTGAGATTAACCTATGTAGGTGGGTTTCCTTTTTTGGTGACTCATATTTGGGTAATGCTTTTGTTCCTACAACCATTTTTTTAAAATCATCTTGTTTTTTAGGTACTGGTTGTTGATTCCTATCCTGTATTTAGAATTTGGTTTTGTTCCAAGATCGTAAAGTTTGAGATGTTTTTACTTACAAGGAAAACACTGCTTTTAATCTTGTATTTGAAGATGCTTGGTTAATCCTTGTGCTATTGTGACCTTCCTATGGATTGTGATTTGAGTACATTCAGCCTTCATAAGAAACTTCGGTTACAGTTCATTTTATTTCCTGGTCAGGTTTGTAGTTTTGAAGATTGTTACCTTTTTTGGCTCTGTGGTCATGTACACTACTACATGATGGGAACTGAAGATAAGACACTGTTTTGTTTCTGTCATTGGGGTGGGAAGAATAAGGTGCTTCCAGATGGATCCACTTCGTATGTAGGAGGAATTACGGATCAGATTATTGTGAAGACAGGCATAAAGTACAATGATTTTGTGAATGCAGTTTTTGACCGATTAGGCATTGATCCTTCAGATAAGGTTCTGCAGTTTACAGTGAAGTTTGATAGGGCCCAATTGATACGGCTTAGAGACCAAGAAGGTGTAAATACTCTATTACAATTTAATGATGGTTTTGCCCATGTATATGCATCAAGTTCGGAGAAGGAGCCTAATTCTGAAGTTGCTCCTAATATGGCTACCACTAGGTAATAGCCATCTTATAATGGTCCACAAGTTCTTATCATGCAAAGTTCTGTGAATACCTATAGTTTGATTATATATTTTATCACAGGATTTCAACCACTGAGGTTGAAGCAGTTTCTCTCGGAAGTGCTGAGGAAGAACAAGTGAGTGCTGATACACCAATTCCTGCACCGTCGAACCAATGGATCACTGATGGAACTCCAGATGCTGCTGCCAACTGGAGTGAATTACTTGTCGGGGAAGGACAAGCTTTTGAAAATGCAGATGCTTTTCGGCTTGCAGTTTTCAAGTTCTCGATTGCGAATAGATTTCACTACAGAATTTTGCACAATAAACCTAGATATATTAGCATCCATTGTGCTGCTGATGGCTGCCCTTGGAAAGTAAGTGCTGGCATTGAGAAGAAATCTCAAAATGTTTCCATTAGGAAATTTGTTGATTCTCATTCCCATCCTCCCCTAGATTCATCGCAACTGAAACCTCGTATCAGGATGAAGTGGTTGGGGGGAATCATGCAAGAAGACATATTGGGCAGTCCTGATTGTTTGCCTCGTAAAGTGTGTGAGGATGCTGAGAAGAATTTGGCTATCAAATTGACCTACCGTCAGGCTTGGAGTGTGAAGCAGAGGATTAGGGAGGCAATCAATGAGAAGTCAGGTGAATCCTATAAACTGATTCCCTGGCTATGCAATCGCTTAATTGAGGCAATGCCCGGAACTATTGCTACATGGTCCTGCACCGAAGAAAACAGATTCAAGAGGCTCTTCGTGTCATATGACTGCTCAATACGTGGGTTCGATGTTGGATGCAGACCTTTGATATTTGTTGATGTTTACAACTTGAATGGGCTGCACAACAGCTCCTTTATAGTTGCTTCTGCTTTGGATGCAGACAATGAGATGTATCCTCTATCTTATGGCATTCTCCTGTCTATGAACGAGGAAGATCTTCTGTGGTTTCTAGAAAAGCTAAAGGTCGTTGTGCAGAACCGCGAGGTCGTCGTAGTTTCTGGCACGAGTCTCCCTTTTCTCTCCAGCTTGGACAAAATGTTTGGTGATGAAAACCACAGTTTTTGTTTTCATTGCGTGAAAGAGAATTTTAATAAATTCATCGATGGTAATACTGCCTTTAAAGTGCAGGGTAGAGGTAAGGAGATTGCACTTAAGTACTTGAGTGACATTGCCTACGCACGAACACTAGATAGTTATAATGAAGCTCTAGGCAAGATCTGTTCTTTCCGCAGGGAATTGTATGATTGGGTGATAGCCAGCCAGCCAGAACGTTGGTCTAATGCCTTGTTCAGGAAACCTCGGTGGGATCATCTGAATTGTAAATCTACGGATTCTCTGAACTCTTTTATAGAGGAAGAGAAGTTTGTACATGTCCTAGAGTTGATGGAGGCTTATCATGAGAAGCTTTATATGTTATTACACAGTAACAAGCTCAAGATTGAACAATGGAACCTCCCAATCGGTCCTCGGGTTGCTGAGAAGATTTTTGAAAACCAAAAGGCCGGTGATAACCTAGCAATGACGGTTCTATCAGATATTGAGTTTAAATTACAGGAACTGCAGGGTAGAGAAGAAGTTGTAAACCTCAAACTCTGGACATGTACATGTTTAGAGTGGCAAATGACTGGCATTCCATGCAGCCATGCCTGCAACGCGATTACTATGACAAGTATGAACATCTATCAGTACGTTGCGGATTGGTACAAGAGGGAGACACAAGAACATATATATGCTGAAGTTATGGATGAACTCGCGAAATTTGATATACCACATCCAGATGACATCATTTCTTCTGCGTCCTCAGGTAATGACGTCGTGCTATGTCCACTTTCACCCCATATTAAAAGACCTCCTGGTCGTCCCCGGAAAGAACCCAAAGGACTTCAAGTTGAAACTGTAAAGAGACCCATTCGTTGTTCCAAATGTGGTGGCGTTGGACATAATAAACGTACTAAATGTAGTTCTGTAGGACAGTAAATTATTGTTCAAGGTATCAACTACTTTATCAGTGAACTATGAGACATATTTTGAGTGTTGGCAGTACTTTGCAGTTAGAATTTTGAGTCCACCTGTTTGAGCTCGGTCACATTGTCGATCCCGAGGTTGTAATAGGCTGCTAGCCACAGTAAAACTAGTCAATGTATGATGAATTCTCACACTACAGAATATATTATCGAGATGTGCTTATAGAGGCATGTGTTTCCATGTTATTAGAAAATATAGAGAATTTCTAGTATTTTTTTATCTTTTTTATTGACGTGAGATGAGCTTAAATTGAGTGACATGTTCAGTGACGATTCATTTGGTTGATTTCAACTTCTTTACAATTGAGATAAATGAATACACATTACTTATCGAGTTCCATCTTTTTTTTTCCAACTTTCAACACATTGAAATTATCTTGTGACTCATAATTATTTAATAATTTTTTCATCATTCAAACATTTATCAATCATCCAAATAGATGAATACATTCCATGTTTGTCTTGATAACCCTTTTTTTCTTATTTTTGTTTTAAGGGTTGCTCTCCCAACTTTCTAGTATCGCTTATCACTATGTTAATCATGAAGAATAAGGAGTTTGTCTTTTTGAATCGATGAATCGAATGTAAATTATTATTGAAACATGATCACATTACAAAAAAAATAATCATAATCTCTATTTACAATCTCTTTTTTTTGTTAAAAAAATTGATAAACATAATTGATCATAGACACAATTTTTTCAAAATAATACTATAAAAGTAGTTAAAAATGTGATGGAAATTAAATTCCATTATTCTCCAACAAAAGAAAAGATTATTCTTTTTTTTCCTTTTCTTGTGGGTCCCTTTTCTTGCTGACATAACACTCAAACAAACTACAAGTGACAGCTCACTTAACAGCTACTTTTCACACAGACAAAACTACTAAAGTAGACACTAATTAATCTAACTAAAAATAATACTAAATATTAATTAAAATACAACTAAAAAATTAAATATTTAGCTAAAATCCCAAAAATCTTCAGAGTAAAGACACAAGATTTATCATATCAAAATCTACACAGATCTGTTCCATTCGTCTGCTTACTATTTTAATCCCCATTTTTCATTTCCTCTAACAAAACCAAATAACACTCTTTTTTTACAAACCCTCTTCAAGATCCAGTTTTTCTTCATAAAGATTGAATTTTTATTCAAGATCCTATCTTTTCTGCAAGTGAAATTTGAGGGTTTTGAAGGTAATTAAAGTTAACCCTTTTCCCCTCTCAATCTCATTGTTATATCTGTATCTTTAGTCTTACATTCTTTATACAGTGCTTATCTCCTTCAAGATCCAATTTTTCTTGTTGATTTTGTGTTTTTGAATAAAGGGTCAGTTTCAGATTAGAGGTGAGTAAGCTATTTTCTTGATTTTAGCTTTAAAATCTCATTTTTAGCTTAATATTGATACTTTGATTTGGAGACTTTAGAGATCAAGATCCAATTTTTCTTGTTGTTTTTGTAGTTTTGAGTAAAGGGTCAGTTTCAGATGTGTTTTTTAGCTTAATCTTGGTAATCTTTTGTTAGAATTTAGAGTTTTTGTAGAAATGAAGGATTCAACAACAGATCCAATTGGGCAAAATTTGATAAAGGTTATAAGCAATGTGTGTTTCTCAGTTTTTGTGTTTTCTGTGCTTATAATTACTGTAATTGCTATTACATACCAACCCCCTGATCCATGGGAATCATCTAGAGCCTTAACTAGGGTGTTTACTCAAGTCGAAAACGCCACATTCAAAGTTGATAATTCTGTCTTAAAAACTGGTGAGGATGTTGCTAGTAGCCCTACTGAAGCTCCTGCTGGAGTTTTTACTTTAGTGCCGATTACTGAAGCTATTATCGAGAAATCGGAAGAGAATCTGTCGAATGAGACTTTGAAATCAGGATGTGAGGATGTGAATGTAGTGAATTGTTCGGATCCTCGAGTCTTGTTCACAATCGAGAGGTTTAATTTGAAGATCTTTAAGTCCATTGCATTTTTGGACTATCGAACGCCTGTTAACGGGTCGAAACCGAATGAATGTGATGTGGCGTGGAGGTTCCGGAACAAGAAAGAGAGATCTTGGAGAAAGTACAGGGATTTCCGGAGGTTTAAGATTGGCTTTACTGATGATTGTAGTTATAAAGTGGTACATGCAGGTCGCTGGCATTCAGGAGTTAATGCCCGTCGTCCAAGAATCCGAGTTAATTCCACTAGAACTAGTACAAGAGCCAAGATTGCTCCACCAGTTATAGATGAGGAGATCAATGATACCATTCCAATCATGGGATCAGATTCAGATTTCAAGAATGGGAGATACTTGTACTATTCTCGGGGTGGCGATTACTGTAAAGGAATGAACCAGTACATGTGGAGTTTTCTGTGTGCTTTAGGTGAGGCTCAGTACTTGAATCGCACATTCGTGATGGATTTAAGTATTTGTTTGGCATCTTCTCACACTAGTAGTCACAAGGATGAAGAAGGGAAAGACTTCAGGTTCTATTTTGATTTCGAACATTTGAAGGAGACCGCGTCCATTGTCGAGGAAGGAGACTTTCATAAAGATTGGAGGAAATGGAATAAGGCACATAAGAAGAAAATTTCTGTAAGAAAGGTTAAGGACTACAAAGTGTCCCCTGACCAACTGTTGAAGGATAAGAGCACAATTATATGGAGGCAATTTGATGCCCCTGAACCGGAGAACTATTGGTATCGGGTCTGTGAAGGGCCTTCTGCCAAATACATCCAGAGACCGTGGCATGCAGTGTGGAAATCAAAGCGACTGATGAATATAGTAACTGAGATCAGTGGAAGCATGGACTGGGATTTCGATGCTGTTCATGTTGTTCGTGGAGAGAAAGCACAGAATAAGGCGTTGTGGCCCCATCTTGATGCTGATACATCCCCCGATTCCCTTGTCACGAAGCTTCAAGGAATTATCACACCTTGGAGGAATCTGTATGTTGCCACAAACGAGCCGTATTATAACTATTTTGATAAGCTTAGATCTCACTACAAGGTGCATTTGCTTGATGATTACAACTACTTGTGGAGTAATACAAGTGAGTGGTATAATGAAACAACACAACTGAATGGTGGCTCTCCAGTTGAATTCGACGGGTATATGAGAGTTGAAGTTGACACAGAAGTCCTTTTTCGAGCAAAATCAAGGGTCGAGACATTTTACAACTTGACAAAAGATTGCAAGGACGGAATTAATACGTGCTAGACCGGAAGGTGATATCCTTTAGTGCTCTGTATACGCCAATTACACTTGTTTCCGCTGTTTCTAAATTTGCTTAGTTGTTCTGTATTGGAGGTTTGAGCTATTTCACGCTTTTCTCGTAACATATTTGTACAATATTCAGTACCATAAATCTTCATTCGTCTGAGATTCGTTGCCTCTATATCGTCTCCTTAAACTTTATCTTTCATTTTTTAAAGTTCTTTTCTCTCATTTTCTCCAAGGACGGGTATCGAAGCTCTAGTTCTTTACCATCATGTTCAAGAATTGGAACACTGAAATTTAACAAGTGCCATTTTTTCTTGAATTTGCTCATGTGCATATATTGATTCATAGCAGAAGTAACTTATCTACCTATTTGAATGAGGGTGTTGGCTCTCCAAAAATGTTGTCATGCCCGTGTAAACTATGTTGTTCAGGCTCTTCAAAAATGTTGTCATGCTTGTGTTAGATCCCTTAGAAATGCACTACTTTAGGAGGATTCGATACGCGACCGACAGACATATTTTGAAGAGTCTAGCAACATACATTTAAATGTGATCAAGAACACGGGGTTAATTTCTCATATACCACACCTAAGGGTGTGACCTAGTGGTCAATGAAGTGGTTTGAGAATCCTGAGGTTTCAGGATCAAAACTCAGCGAAGACAAACAATACTAGGTGATTCTTGATTTACCTGGGATCTGTTGTTGGTTCGGACACCGCGATCATCAAAAATATTCTCATATACTCGCTCAATTAATAGTTATTATATCTCAGAAAGACTTTTTTTCTTCTTGTTTTCGACTTTTTTCAACAAAGAAAATGACTCTGAGATAATAACTATAAGCTAACTGATCATCTAAGAAATCAACTACAGAGCTAAGTTTGTTGAATCTCATTCCATTTCTAAACAAATCAGATGTTCTTTTTACCAAATTTACAACATCTCTCTTGCTACTCAAAACCAAACTATTTTTTTTTTTCGTTTGTGTGCTCCTTTTTTCACTTGAAATTTTCATGTGAATGGTAAAATTATAAAGTTTTTTGTCAAACAATAGGAAAATACAATCTTCACACTTGAGTACTATGACAAGATCAATCCAGAAAATTATAAACTTCTTGTCACAGGTTCATCAGTGTTCCAACTTCTGCTTGGTGCTACTTGATTGTGTATTGGCACATATTCCTAGAAAAAAAAAGAACAATATTAGATTTTGTACACTTTCTTGCTATTGTAAGCAACAAGACTCATAACCAGGGGCGGAGCTAGAGTGACAGAAGAGAATTCATCTGAATACTTTTTGGTTGAGAAATGGATAATTTTATGTATATATAGTCGATATTTAATAATAGTTGCATTTTTGTTTTTTCTTCTCTTCCTTGAACACTTAGTGGGGATAAGGGGTCAACCCCTTTATCCTTTCTCCACTTGAATATAAGACTTTTGTTCGCGATAGGGTTTGAATTAGTAACGTGTGTCTAATCCACACGTTACGCGTTGCGCTCTTACTAGTTGAACCAAAGTCTAAGGGCACTTCTAGTTTTTTTTTTTTATGATAACTGAGAATTCTCAAGAGCCAATTGACACATAGTTTGAAACTCAGTGGAGATAAGGGGTCAACCCTTTTATCTTTCTCCACTTGAATACAAGACTTTTGTTCATGACAGAATTCAAACGTGTGACGTATGTTTAATCTGTACATCATGCATTACGCTCTTACTATTTAACCAAATATTATGATTAAAGAAATACCTCCATTTTTTCCAAAAGCTCTTTGGGTGATGTAGCTGATATGACAATATTTCTTGCTGAAGGCTTAA